ACCATATACGAGACCTTGGGCATACTGTGTAAACCGATTCTAAATATATGTATACCTTGGGTTACGAGCTTGGCCAGGGGATTGGAAGTGACCATCTTGTACTTCTTCACTACTAGCGGTGGGTGTTGGATACCGAAGTCCGCCACAGTCCACAACCAGCCGTTGGAAATTAGAGCCATGCTCGAGGGATCATACGGGTCGAATACAAAGGAGCGGACCTACAGAAGAAATGAGTGCGTGTTTATGGGGTGTGCACAAGGTGTGTGTGTGTTCAGAAGTAATGGATGATATATATAAAAGTAACTGCAATTGACACCAACCACCCATTGGCCATCAGAGGCATGCGCAATGGATCATATGGGTCGAATACAAAGGAACGTACCTACAGAAGAAATGAGTGTGTGTGTATGGGGTGTGCACAAGGTATGTGTATGTTCAGAAGTAATGGATGATATATATAGAAGTAACTGGAATTGACACCAACCAACCATTGGCTATCAGAGGCATGCGCAATGGATCACATGGGTCGAATACAAAGTAGCGTATCTACAGACGAAATGTGTGTGTGTTTATGAGAGCTGTAAAGGGGATGTGCATGTTTTAGATTTAGGGATTTAGGGTGTTTTAGATTAAGATCGACGTACAAGGAACAAGCCACAGTCCACACATCCACACATATCAGAGCCATTTTCAAATGACCATACGGGACGAAAAGAAGGAATCGTAATTTAGGACAGGAGTATAATTTAGGGTTCAGGGTTTAAAGGAGAGTTTGAAGGTTCAGCGTTGAGAGTGAGCGGATGTTGTGTGTCTGAGGGGAAGTTGTCTATGAAACTATATGCATGGGTTTTATTCATAAATCATTGGCATTCGATACAAGGCATAAACACCCGGTGGGAAGGAGTGTTAGCTCGATGTATCACAGGGGTTTAGGGTTTTAGGGTTGGATATAACTGTTCGTATCTGGAGGGGGGTGGGGAAGTGATTGTGTATTCAGTCGCAGGTGGTAGGTACACCTACTGATTCATATAGCCATAGAGCGGCATACTATACCATCCAGCCCACCCATAGGAAGTCAGTGTCACACCCATCGATCATACGGATCGTATATAACGAAGTGTCTGCACAGGTATAGTTCACCAGATACTTTTGGGAATATCATCGGAATGAGTCATCATCAGATTAAATCGCCACCCACCTTGCAACGCAGTTTCATGCACAACGGATCACAACCTTCCGACACTCACAATCGCATCTTTAAGAGTAGGCGAAGTATATGGGCAGAAGGAAGTGGCTATAATGCACTCATTCCTGATAAACATTGGACTCTATCTACACAGATGAAAGTGTTATGCTCAACGGATCATAACCTTACAATACCAGCAATCGCACCTTTAAAAGTAGGCGAAGTATATGGGCAGAAGGAAGTGGCTATAATGCACTCATTCCTGATAAACATTGGACACTGTCCACACAGACGAAAGTGTTATGCACAACGGATCATAACCTTCCGATACTCACAATCGCACCTTTAAAAGTAGGTGAACTACGAATTGGCCATAGCACATTCAGTTCCGATTAACATTGGACTCTGTCCACACAAATGAAAGTGTTATGCTCAACGGATCATAACCTTCCAATACCAGCTATCCTATGTTCAAAAGTAGGTGAGCTTTGAATTGGCTATAATGCACTCATTCCTGAATAACATTGGACTCTGTCCACATAAATGAAAGTGGTGTGCTCGCCAGATCAGTATGTGATGAAAGGACTCGTGTATTTGTGTGGGCTGTCCATCCGGCTGATGCGTGCAAATGGGCTGTACTTACCTACAGGCTTCAGTATTATGTTACATCCAATTGAATGGGAATAGCGGACTCGATCGCACCTAATCTCGATCGGGTGTCCGAGTCACTATGTTACACATGCCACTATGCTACAGATAGATAGATAGATATACTTACATTGTATACGACACATATGTAAATATAGTATGTAAACATAGTACTCACATTGACTATATACTACAGTCACACAGAGGTGAATATAGGATGTAAACATAGTACTCACATTGATACATACTATTGTCACACAGAGGTGAATATAGTATGTAAACATAGTACTCACATTGATACATACTACAGTCACACAGAGGTGAATATAGTATGTAAACAGAGTACTCACATTGATACATACTACAGTCACTCAGAGGAGAATATAGGATGTAAACATAGTACTCACATTGATACATGCTACAGTCACTCAGAGGTGAATATAGGATGTAAACATAGTACTCACATTGATACATACTACAGTCACTCAGAGGTGAATATAGGATGTAAACATAGTACTCGCATTGATACATACTACAGTCACACATGGGTGAATATAGTATGTAAACATAGTACTCACGTTGATACATACTACAGTCACACAGAGGTGACTAAAGGATGTAGATATAGTACTCACCTTCTGTTGGAACTCCGTCATCCACACCTTCATGCCCGTCTCGACACTCCAGAGACAAATGAAGCACGACGCGGCATTGACCACGTGCAGTGACACAACATAGTTGGTGTCCGTTGGGTGCCAGGCGACCTATACACGCCAGGAGAAGATGGGGTGGGTATAAGGAATAGAGTTTGGAATCAAGATATGTATACCAAACCCTAAACCCTGGCCCATAGTAGGATGTAGGTATTATTGGATGCGCAGTGATACATCCGCGGTGTTGTTGAGGTACAGACGTACTTGGACGTGTGCGGGATTGTGCAGTGTACGGGCTTGCTGACATGCCAGTGAAGCTTGAAAGGTATTATAGCCTTCATTGACTGTAACACAGGATCCATCTGTTAGTTAACCTTAAATGACAGTCTACAGGTATGACACACGTTACACAAGCTTGAACATACATAGTTTTTTGGCCCTGGCAGGTCCGAACCATCTGTCCCCAGTCACATTGAAAACATTATTGAACGAACACAAACAGTTATCTCTTGAAGTGTCACCTCAGACGAGACGTAAGTCCCGTACCTACAGAAGACGCTACAGTATACAATTGACTTATCCCACAAGTTTGGGCCACTCGCAATACACCACATCAACTCGATCAGAGTCAAAGCTCTTCCGCACCTGAACACAGTTTTTAGGACCCTGGAAGGTCCGGACCATTTGAGCTTTAGCGACGTTGAATATACATATTTTGCCAGAGGTGTCGCCGGAAACCAAGCGTAGCCGAGACGGACTGTACAGAGTGTGAAAGCGCGCACTCTTGGACCACTGAACGGTAGTCACAAAGTGGTGGTGATAGTTGAGTGTCTGCACATTGGTGAACGACCCTGGGTAGACTATCCCAACGATGCAGTGCGAGCCATAGGCAACCAGACCTGTGTGGGTGGTGGGTTATAGGGGTAACATAGAAATGAATACATACTCTGTGTATGTGGCAGTATGCTGTATACCTGTATACAAATGATCGTGATATATATATATATATCCACAAACACACAGACACACACAGACATACACAGACAAACAAACATAAACACACACACACGAACACATACACACAATTACATAACATACCACTCAAACACACACACACACACCACAA